AAAAATATGATGTGGGTGTCAGACAGAACTGGCTTTGAATCTCAGTATTTTCTTTTACTTGTATTTTCAGTATTTTATTTTTTTTAAAGAAAGATTTTTAAATAATATCTTATTTAACTTTATTTATTTATTTATTTTAATTTGACCAGAGAGACAGAGGTGGACAGAGAGAGAGAGGGAGAAAGTGAGAAAGCAAGCCACCAGGTCTGGGACTTGAACTGTGGTCGGTCATGTGGGAGTCCAGCGCCCTTAGCCGCCATGCTACCTGTCAGCCCCTATCTTCAGTATTTTCTTTACCCATTGGAAGGCCTTGCTTGGTTTAGTCTGAACTTCATTTCCTTATCTGTACAATGGGCCTAAACGTGTGTAATAGGGTTTTTCGTACTCTATCATAATTGTCAGAGCACGTAATCAATTAGAAGAATCAATGATTCTCTTCCCCCCGCCCCCAAAGCAATTTGCATGAATGAATTGCACAAACTTAGCTTTGTGTTTTGTTAGAAAATTCTGGCACCCGATATAGAAAATAAATGAGTATTTCCTTAAGAGTTCTTTCTGTAAGTGAAGCTCAGCTTTTATTACTGTAAATGGCTCTAAGCTCTCACAATTCCCAAAACAGAGAAACAAGCCCAAGAACTTTGCTATTTTGAAAGGAGAACTGACAAAGCAAGGTTCAAATTCAGGGCCATTTAGAAATATAATTGCTTCATTTCCTAATTCCTTTTCCCATTTTATTTGGTTACTTAAAAAAAAAAATTAAAAATCAAATCCTAAGCAAAAGAGAAACCTTTAAGTGTGAGAGGTTTGTTTGCATGTGTTCTCCCCTCCCTCTGTTGTGTCCATCTGTCTCTCCTTGAATACCATTGAGATGACGAGTCACTTTGAGAAACATGCGACAGATATTGCATTGCTTAGGCAAGTCTTTATCCCAATAACTGAGAACAGACAGAAAAGACTGTTTTTAGTCCCTTTCCTTCGTTATATACAAACTGCGAGGCAGAAAACCTTTTCGCCTGTCCCCTAATCCCTGAACCCATCCTTAATTAGTGTTTTTATGGTTAATCCCTACCATATATCTTTAAGAGTTTCACATGAGCCGGCTCCCTACAAGTTTTATTGCATTCAAAATAGAGGCAAGCTGGCAGTGTGCGATGGTGGGAATATATACAGCCACCAAGAGGGGGCTGGCTGTTGCTCGTAATTGATTGCTCACTGAAGCCTGCCCGCGCACTTTACCCCGAGGCCTGACTTTCCTCCATATGCCTAGTGTCAGGACGTGGAAGCCAGCTGGTCAGTCAGCGCACATCCTGTGGGAAGCGGCAGACACAGGCGGCCGGGTAGCCATCAGCCTCCCTGAGCCCATTTCCTCTGTGTTTTGATAATAGTTCTGTAAGCTTTAATTATGCTGTGTGACAACACATTCATGAACTATCAAAATAAATCCTTTGAGGAGATGGCTGCTAACAAGTTTTGAAGCAACAGTGCTTATTGCAGAGAAGTAAGGAGCGAGGCAATCAGATTTTGCAGGATCCCCCTCGATGTTGAAACCAGATGAAACATTCTCTTTTTTATCGTGCTGACAAATGCCCCTTTTAAAGCTGCGCCCTTAAGAAGTTAACCGAAGACACTGATTGCAACACTCGAGTGTATCCAACACAAGCGCTTTACAATTAGCAGCGGTAATGCGAGCATAAAAGCTGTGCCCCAATATCAGTATATAATCTGAAGGAACACCACAGGGTCCATTAAGGCCATTTACAGTTGAGACTGAGACTAATGGTATTAAATGATTACAGCTATTGCTAAAGGGGCATTCTAAGTGAATCCCTTCCAGCTGGGTTGCTTGTATACGCTCTTTGTCAACAGTGCAGTCCTTCAAGGCTATCCTTATTGTTCATGATGGTTTAGACACGATGCCGTGTGCTTTACTAAAGGTATAAATAACACCCGACAAAAAGACCGGGGAATTAGTGTTTGATTCAACTTGGCAGAGAGTTACATGGAGCTGGGTAGTTCTTGGGCAAACCCTACTTGTCTTTCTGCACACATATGCCTGTGTGCTCACACGCAGGATTGTCTGTGTTCATGAATAGCATGTGGCGGCCCACGGTTGTCTGACTATGGTGCCCAGGGTGACCCTAAGTGAGTTAGCCTTACCTGGGTTGCTCCATGTGGTTATTCTGGTTGGAATTTGGCAGAATTTATGGGGTTAGTGTTAGAGTATCAAAGAGAATTCTGTTTGGAATCTGCTTTTAAGTCATCAAGAGCAATTTATAATTCCCAGCACACATTAGAGTTTCTTTTCTTTCCCTGTGAGTCTGGTTGCCCTTTTTTGGGGTGGGGGGGTGGGGGGTGGGAGATTACCGGAATTTCCCCCAAGGTTGGTAGCATTGTTACTTAAGTTAGTTTAGCTCCCCCAGCACTCAATCAACAATAGGAGACTATGCTCGAGAATAAGTAAGCACTAGGGTCTTCTTTTCAGTTTACTAAAGCAAGGAAGTTGCAAATAGAAATTTGGGAATAAATTCAAAGTTGCTACTGAGCTCAAGTCAGGAACTCAGCACGAATGAAGAGCTTCAGCATTGTCAGGGGTACAGGAGAGAAGGCAGAAGCACACACGTAGGAGCCTGTCTTCTCAAGGAGAGGCCAAGGGCTAGGAAGTGTCCATTGTAAATCAGATCAAGTAAGTTATCATATTTATCAATTGTATATGCATGTTTATTGTTTTTATTTGTAGTTTGCCAGAGTGGGTGTGCCTGGAGAGAGAGAGAGTGAGAAAGCATCCCCATGGGGAATGGTCATGGATGATTCCTTTTTCAGTTTTTTCCTCCTTTTGGGATTTTAGGCATGCACACACACACACACATGCCTGGTGTGTTTTTCTTTTCTTTTTATTTTTTTAAGAGAGATTTTTGTTATAGGGCATGTGTACTCACCAAACAGACAGACAGAGACAGAGAGACAGAAAGTGAGAATTCACCTCCAGGGGGAATGGCCACACCACAATCCCTTCTCTTTCATTCTCCTCTTGGGGTCTTGGGCACGCACACACACACGCCTGGTGTGAGTTTTAAGTGACCAGGTCTGGGACTAAAACCGTGGTCAACTGTGTGGGAGTCCAGCAATGTAACCATTACAACATCTGCTAATCCCATGCCAGGTGTGTTTTTCAAGCCACCAGGTCTAGGACTCAAATTTTGAGGTTGGCCAGGTGGGATCCAGTTGCTTTAACCACCATGTCCCCTGGTGGTCCCTGTTTGTGTACGTTATAAATAACCACACAATGTGTGTCTCCTTCCGGTTGTATAAATTAAATAATTATTGGGTTGATGGGAAAGTGACAATGTATTTTTGCTTACAAAAACATAGAAAAACATGTCATGACTTTTCCGAAAACCTAGTAAGTATGACAAATAATTGTTATCAATTACTTCCATAATTTACCTTGTCAGATATATTTATTGAGCATCTCCTTGGTGACATCCACTGTCTAGATACTTTAGAGAGGGAAAAGACTGTTGTCAGATGTGGCTCTTGCCTCAGGGAGGTCACAAATGAGTCATGAAGGGTAGGTTAACAGAAAAGGTAAACTTGTTCAGAGGTAGATGAGATGGTGCTAGTTAAGAATATGATAAAAGCCTGGGGCCAGCCAGGCCATGTGGTGGTTAAGGTGGCTGAATCCCACATAGCCCAATGCACAGTTTAAGTCCTGGACCTGGCAGCTTAGAAGCTACATCGGTGTGTATGTGTGCATCTCCAAAATTCAAAAAGAGATTGTGGTGTGGCCATTTCCCCCTCTCCCGGGAGGGGTAATTTCTCACTTTCTCTTTTTCTTTCTCTCTCTCTCTCCGGAGAGCACACACACCGTCTAGCAAAAACTAAAAGAAAAAAAGGGTAAAAAAAGAAAAAAAGGTAAGAGTATGGTAAGAGTTTAAAGAAAGGACAAAGTCGGTGAAGTAAATTTGAACAGAGTGTAGAGGAAAGAGGCCTTGAGCTGAGCATAGAATCACAGTGAGGAGGTGGTGAGGAGAGAATGGAGGAACTCACTCTCTCGATTGAGGCTGAGGGCCTAGAGAGATTGAGCATGTGGGTTTGGGGGGCACCGTGGAGGCCTGCTGGGTTAAGGCAGAATCATATTCCTGCCAAGTACCGTGTTAGGCTCTGGGCATACAGATGGATAATACGTTGTCCTACCCTCAGGGAACTTAAAGCCTAGTATAGTCATATTCAGCCTATGTGCCTATCCACTGAAATAAAAATTTATTTGTACCTAATTCAAGGAACTTGTGGACTTTTGAAGCCATCATAACTGGTGCCTTATGGGAATTATGGGCCATAAGTTTAAGATGGGCTGGTTTGTAGGGGTGAGACGGGGAGACAGAAAATCATGGCAGAGGAGCTTGATTGGCGTGGAAGGCAACAGGAAGCCTTTGAAAAGACCTATAGAGAATGTCAGAGACAGGCCATTGTCCATTCACCTCATTTCCAGGTGGGGAAACTGAGAGTCAGGGGCTGAGGTCACTGCACAAGCTCCCCCAGTTATTCCTAGGGGCTCTTTATTATCCTCAGCTGAATGGAGACTTCCTGCCTGGATCAGACTTTCTCAGGAATTATCAGGGTGGCAGCAAAGGGTGCAAGATGAAAAACTGACCTCAGGTGACCATCTCCCTAGCAGAGATGCACCGAGAACAATCAGGGGCAGTAAGAGAAAAGAAGAATTTAGGAGGGAGCTAAGAACAAAGGAAAGAGCCACTGGCATGAAAGAAACTCTACCAAATATAGTTTGAACGCACGTCGCTGTCGGCACATGAGACACTTAGTGAGAAAACCTCTTCTTGAACTTTGCGATAAAGCAGAGAATCTTTGCAATCTTTGAAACCTTTCACTTTGGAAATATCCACAAAACAAATCAGAAAAACAAACATTAATGAGGCAGATAGAAAACACTTTGGAGAAAAAAATAATTTAGCATTTTTATAGTTGCTATAGAAACACCTCAGCCCTCACTCTTGCTAATTAGTTGGATTTTTACACATTTTATATTTGGAAATGCAAATCAGTTTTCATAAATTATTACTTTTTTTTTTTTACTTATATTTACAGTACTGTTAGGCAGATACAGGAAGTCTAGGGTATTATTTAATATGACATACTTAGTTATATGAGCCTGGCATTTATATCCACAAGACATTTCTTAGTTTAAATAGTCGCCTGTTAAATGTTGTGGGAAATGGTACAGAGATTTATAATTTTTACAGAAGAAGAGGAGGAAATGCAGTGGTGTGGTAGCTTAGTAAAGTGCTTTCTCATGGAAACTTGAGAGAGAACGGGTGAGTTTTACCTCCAGTAGACTCTAAATAATAAACATTTTAAAACTTTCCTGCAGTCGTGGGAATTCTGGTTGGTTGGGTGTCTTCTGAACTTTTGGTACTAAACGCACCATCTGTAAACACTTACTGGACTCACGCTGATTGGAGAAGACACAGACATGTTTGGAGGAAAGGGAATATAGGAGAGTGTCAAGATCTGGGGTGGCTGATGGCCTCTGGAGAGGAGGTGAGTGAATGCTCAGTCAGACGGAATCACGGGTACAGTTCCAGTTTCTAGAAAGAAGACAGGAGGGGTGAAGCTATGGACTTCGATTTTGTTGTTGAAAGGAGAATTCGACAAACCTCACTTCAGCTCTTTGTCCTGTTTCTTATTATCAACATGATTTGGGGCAGTTTGGTTGACCACTCCAGATCTGCTCCTGTAAAATGGGGACAAAAACAAAGAGTCCTGCATTATATATTAAATTAGAGCTTAGAATATTTATGAAGTTTTTGGTTCAGGACCCAGCCTTTTATAAGTGCCTAGGCAGTGATACCTATTATAACATGATTATTGGGCCAGCCTGTGGCACGGCAGTTAAGGCGGATGAATCTCACGTGGCCACCTGAACAGTTCAAGTCCCAAACCTGGTGGCTTGAAAACCATTCCAGGAATTTGCCAACTTGTCCATGCATGCCCAAAATCCCAAGAGGAGAAAGGAGAGAAAGGGATTGTGAGGTGGTCATCCCTGGTCATCACTTTCCCTCTCTGTCTCTCTCTGTCTCTGTCTCTCCTTGGTGGAGCCCATGCACCCTATGGAAAATAAAAAAAAAATTATTATAGCTCATCCTTACTGTACATGCATTTATCCCTCAGATTATAACAGTGTGTACTAGAGCAAAAAGTAAAAAGGGAAAAAGGATGCTAAGAGAAAATGAAAAGTTTAAATAATATTCTTTATTCCACTCACTGTGTATTTGCCTCTGAGGGAGCTCAGGATAGAAACCTGCTGATAATCAGATCTTTGTAGGTAGATATTAATATGTAAGATGATAAACGCGTGCATACAGCACATTAGGTGCAGTTTAGGAGATTTTCAAGCATTATTTTGACTTTATATAACTTTCATCTTATACACTGGCTGTGGATGCTGACTCTCACATCACAGTTGAAGCCACTGTATTGTGGTGGTTGTGGTGGTAATGTTATTGGTCTGACGCAAAGGAACCAATTGGGTCACTGATGACATGACCTGAAGTTACAGTTCAGACCTGGGATTCAATTTAAATGTCTTTGAATGATTTTGGTATGATGAGAAAACAGTAGGAAGAAGTGGTAGAAGACCCTTCCATGGCCAATGTGATGAGGAAGAGAGGGAGGAGGGGAGGAGGCTGAAGGTGAGAGGTGCTGGGAAGGAGCCAGGGCTCCTTGCCTGGATGCCTTGATGGAAAGAGGAAGCGATCCTCTGAGAAATGGGAGCCAGAGAGAGGAGGCCCACTTGGGTGCTTAGTTGCATGTGGGAAATAAATAACACAGGGGAAAAATGTTTATTTCTACACTAGTATTTTTAGAGACCCTCTTGTTAGTGCTGTGTCTGCATAATAAGGTGATCTAATGGTGCTCAGCCTTCCCAGTCTTACATCTTCAGTCATTTGTAAAAAAAGAGTAAACAGGATTACTTCCTTCTCTAGGCCGACTTCCGCCTTTCCCTGAGTCAATAAGCAAGGATTTGTTTCTTCTTTGTGTATGTGACCCCGTTTAAATTCAGAGTTCATGGTAACAAAAATGGTAAGTGGTAGGAAAACAAAGTACAAATGCATAAATACATTTCTTTTTAAAAAACTTACCACATGAAACTAGCCAATAGTTTTGATGGTAGCTCTGTAAGGTTGTGCTTTCGGTATTTATGATGATACGTGAAGGCGAGGTCTTCAAAAAATTCATGGAAATGAACATTATGGGGGGGGGGGACTATTGTGGCTTTCCAACGGTGTTTTGTTTTGTTTTGGGCACCAAAATAAACTCGCACTTTAATTCCATTTTCCATGAACTTTCTGAAATCTTGTACTACGGAGATAAAGTCAGCAAATCTAAGGTATTAAAGAAATGGGAACTGAGAGGGACAGCAAATTGGAAATCAAATGCTCCTAAATGTGGCAAGGCTGTAGCTGATTCTTGGCTCCTTCTACCTGTTTCTGTTGGAGAATTTGAACCCAGAGTTACCAGATGTGACTTTTCAACAGAAGCCAGAAGTTGAGATTTAGTGTAAAATTTGATTTTAAATGATGGCAACTAATGAGAAATTTAAATTACTACGAAAAATAACAAAAACAGTCTGTGGGTTGCTAGTTTTAGTTCTTTTTCTTTTTCTTTCTTTAATTTGCCAGGAAGTATATGTACCCACCAGAGAGCCACAGAGAGAGAGAAAGCAGGAAAGCACTCCCCATGGGCCATAATCATACTGCAATCCCCTCTCCTCCACTTCTCCTTCCCCTCTAGATTTTGGCTACTCATTTATGAGTCATGTATGTTTCTAAAGCCACTGGGTCCAGGACTTGAACTGAGAAGTTGGCCATATAGGATCCAGCCTGCTTAACCACCAGGTCATGAGTAGGCCCCACCTTTCTTTTAGAGCTGCACTGGCCAACATGGTAGCCACAAACCACCATATTGGCCATTAAGCACTTGAAAAGTGGCCAAACTGAAATAGTGTAAAATATACACTGGATTCTGAGGACTATAAAATACACCAATAGTTTTTAATTCTGATTGTATGTTAATACGATCATATTGTTGTCGGAAAAGTCATGACACATTTTTGCACACAAAAAATACATCACAGCTTTTCTGACAACCCAATATTTTGGATATCGTGGGTTATATAAACTATTATTAAAATTAACTATACTTGATTATTTCCTCTTGTTAAAATGTGGTTGTCAGAACATTTTAAATTATATGTGTAACTTGGATTTGCAGCTTCCATTATATTTTTAGTGGACACACTGCCCAAAGAGTTGGGTTATTCTTCCCAAGCCATCTCTGTTTTGCAATTTCATGGGGGTACAGGTCCATGAACTTACTCCTTGCCCTTTCTTCCTCTCAGACCAACCCAAAGGTCAAGAAAGGTCTGATTTTAGATGAGTCTTCTGGCCCAGCCAGGTCTGTTTTCATCCAAGAATAGAGCTAAAAATGGGTCTCACGCCTTGAACTTGGGTTTGGTTGGCTGGCGGGTGTTCCCTCAGCTGTTCTTACCTGAGTCCTGGTAATGGCAGCATGGACCTCTGGCATCCCAGTCGTGAGCTTGGAGCCCTTGGCACTGGAGTTCTGTAGAATACCTGAGAAGCTCTTGGGAACCATATTTCCTTTGCTCACCATACTTTTGCTTAAAATCTTACTTACACTGGTAAAAAAAATAAGTAAGCATGTTAAATTTGCCGGAGTGAAGATAGGCTGTCAGTATCATCCCTGCAGTCATGTTGTGAGTTAAACGGAGGCTCACATTTTAACGGAATCAAATGATTTAGTGCCTGACCAGCAGGTCTCTCACACACTCTCCCACATTCCCAAGATGCTAGTCCATGAAAGAGCACCTGCCAAAGGGACGAGGGTACCAGGCAGCAGTGGTGCCCTAACTGGAAACGCCAGCTTGGAAAGACAGGAAGCTGCAGGCCAAGTTCTTGCCAGCTTTTCGGAGAGTGGTGTTTGCAGATCTAATCAAGCAAGATTCAAATACAGGAAATATTGTGTCGTCAGAAAAATCATGACATGTGTTTACATGCAAAAAATAGAAAAATGTGTCATGACTTTTCTGATGACCCCATATTACTGATTTACTTTCTAAGTGCTAGATTTCTGTTTGGAATGTTTTCACAGACATTATTCCCTTTAATTCTCATGGAACGCAGATCGTGACCTCTATTGAGGCTTTTTTTTTAAAAAAAAATTTTGTTTTTTGTTTTGTTTTGTGCTTCACATCAAGAGAGGCAAGAAGGGACACTTGAGATTCTCCACCCAGCCCCTGACATCTGAGGGATTAATTAGATTTTTAAAGGCAGGATGGTTTAAATGGTCAAATATGAGCATGTGGATTTTCCTTTTGCTTCCTTTTTTTTGGCTCAATTCAGTGGTTCTCAATTATAGTGGGTTGTGAACACAAAGCCACATGTGTGGTAATTTATGGGTGATATAAGTGATTTTCAAAGGTAATTTTGTCTATATGGGATTGTTGCCGTCCATGCTTATCGTAGGACCTGACTTCTTGGCTAAGATGTAGCTCCTTATGTGTACAAGTTCTTGGGGCATTATCCCAAGTGGCTGATCACAGAGATTAGGAATATGTAGCCACTGTCCCTGTGTTTGCAGAATAACATGTATTCTTAAAATAGGGATCGGTGGGGTACAGGGAAATCTTCTTGCTCTTTGAGTTGGGAAGCAGGAATCTGGTCATTCTGGAGTAGCATTTACTGAAAAGAGAGAGAGAAGCAGGTAGGTGGTCTGCAAGGAAAGAAAGCTCATTCTGAGGCTACTTAGGTTCAAGTCCCACAGACGTTTCAGCTTCCTCCAGGTGCTTTGGCTCTACTTAAGCCACGCTCACATGATCTCTAGAAGGAGCTTCAATACGGCTCCAAGATGAGTCCTAGAGCTCTGAAGGGTCAGTTGTGGGGCCCTCAGCTTTAAGCACAGTGTGAATGTTGGTGCTTTGAGATTGTTATGGAGAAGAATCCAATGAAATTCACCTACTCCATGGCATTTACTGTGAACTTTGTTGTGTGAGGAATATATGGGGTCTTCCAAAAGTTGATGGAAAACACATATTATGAAATAAGTATACATAGACTTCAAATATTTTTTGTGTGTGCAAAATTAACTTGTATCTTAGTCTACTTTTCTCACAAACTTTTTGAAATCCCCTACACTACAGTGATAATAAGCCAACATTTAATGAGGGTTTCTTACATGTCAGGGACTGTGTTAAATGTTGCAATTACTTCGTATTATACTTAATTCACACAGTACGCTGAGGTTGATATTACTTATCCTCTTTTACTGATTAGAAAATTGAAAGAGGTTGAATAATTTGCTCAAGTGTCACGCTTTTCTCTAGGTGACTGCATCAGCTATGGTTAGATGTGGCTGCAAGTGAGGGAACTGTGGCCTCCACCCACAATGAAATTTAGTGACCTAATTAAGACAGGAGTTTATTATTCTCACATAAATGAAGCCAGGAAGTAAACAACCTAGCGCTGAGATGGAATCTCCACCCTATAAAACCTGCAGGCCAGGCTCCTTCGATCACCTTTTTCTACCCGTTCTAGAGGATGGCCTCATCCCTGCTGTCCAAGATGGCATGGTAGCCATCACAGCAACACTCTAATAGAAGAATGGAGGAAGGAGGGGGCCATGTAGATACCTTCCTCTTAATGACGCTGGACTTTGCAAATAGCATTCTACTTTTATCTCATTGGCCAGATCTTAGTCACATGGCTACCTAGCTACAAAGAGTCTGGGAAACATTGTTTTCATTCCAGGCAGCCATGCACTCAAGTAAAATAATGAAAAAGGGGGCAGCAGTTAGCGTAGCAGTTAAGTCACTGAACTCCCACGTGGCCCACTGTGGTTCAAGTCCTGGACCTGGTAGCTTGAAAATTATGCCAGGCATGTGTATGCAAGTCCAAGATCCCAGGAGGAGAATAGGGGAGAAGGGATTGCAGTGTGGTCATCTTCCCTGGGGGATGATTTCTTCCTTTCCCTATCACTGTCTCTGTCTCTCTCTCTTTGGCAAGTGCATGTGCTCTAAGGCAAAAGCCTCTCAAAAATTTATAATAATGAAGATGTTATGACTTCAGATCAAGGAGCAAACATTTTGGGGTCAGCAGTAGACTGGTGACTGCAGTGATCTTAGGCAAGTCACAGATTTCTCTTGATTTCTTCATCTCTAAAGTAGATACTAACTTTAGGAATGTTGTGAGGAATTAGTGAGGCTCTCTGGAAAATAGCTGGTATATTTTTCAGTAGCTGGCACCATTTAAAACAACATAGCCAGTTCTAATTATAATTGGACTGATGCTTTGTTAATATGGGTACACGGTGACAGAATCACTAGAGAAAGATGTTATCGTTTTTTTTTTTAACATTTTTTTTCTCTTTATGCTCTGTTTTTACTATTGAATAGTACTTTTAAATCTTCTGGCTATTGTGTAACTTTAGTTAAGTATGTATTTTCCTGTCAGGTCAAAGCAGTAAAATTCTCTGATTCTAAACCCTAAAAGGTTTGGAGAATAAATCCTAAAAGAAAAGGTTAAGTTGCTTTTGTTTTTTCTTTCTACTGATGCTCTCACAGGTAGTCCCTTTTTCTTAAAGCACTCCATTTTACCTTACAGGCTTAGAAAAGTGGAATGCTGGTGTAACCATAATTCAAGATAATTTTGGAACTTACTCTTTAAAGAGAGAGTTAATGTATAATTTTACATCTAGATCTGTATCTTTATCTCTCAGATTATCACTTTATTAGACTGGCTTAAAAGACAGGCATTTTTTTTTTTTGAGAGGTTTTTGCAATAGGGCACATGAGCTCACCAGAAAGAAAGAGACAGAGAGTGAGAAATCACCCTCCCAGGAAGGATAGCCACGCCGCAATCCCTTCTCCTCCATTCTCCTCTTGGGATCTTGGGCACGCACGCACACGTGCCTGGCGTGAGTTTAAACCACCAGGTCCGGGACTCAAACCACAGTCGACTACACGGTAGTCCAGTGACATAGCCATTATGCCAACTGCTTGTCGCAGACACGCATATTTTTTAAGTCAAAGGTCTCTGTTCTTCTTTGGAATACTGAAGACTGTCATTAGTAATTTAACATCTTTCACAGACATACAAGCTAGAGGTGTGCATAAGATAGAGAGTGCTATGCTTTAGTTTAGACCAGGCCTTGAGAATACAACAGGAACTAGGAATGGGTTGGAAGTTAAGCTAAAATACTCCATTGACTTCCCACTGAATGAATCCATCTGGATCCAGTCCCCAGTTCACCATAAGGGCTCTGATCTCTCCTGTCTCACTGTCCCAGCCTGGGCCTCAGACCCCGCATCATTGCATCTCCAATCCCATTCCTCCTGCCTTTTAGCTCAGGCCCTTCTGCTGTTTGATCTTCTACCTGGGCACTATCCTCCAGTCTCTGCCCATTTACCTGCTTCTGAGCCTCACATACCACTTCAAGGAGACCTCTCTATGCCGCTGAGTTGGCAGGCATCTTGTCCCACTGTCATCACACTGGGCTGCTGTCCCTCTAATTGTTCATCTCGACTAAGATGATGCTTCCCAGGAGTTTGGATTTGTGTCCACTTCCTCCTTTAGTCGCAAGCTCCATGAAGACAGGGCTATGTCTTCCTACCCAAAACTTTGTGCTTGGCCCAGTGCTCAACAAACTTTTGCAGAGTAAATAAATTTGAGTATCTACATATTCTCTATGGATCATCCTCTAGGAATTTAGAAGCACTGCTTCAAAATGACTTTGTATTTCGAAAGCTTAGCAGTTGCCTGGTGGGTGTTCTAGCTGGCTTAGGCTGTCATAACGAAGTACGACAGACCTGGTGGCCTAAACCACAGAAATGTATTTTCTCATAGCCCTGGAGGGAGGAAGTCCAAAATCAGTGTTGGAAGGGTGGTTTCTTCTAAGGCCTCTTTCCTGACTTGCACATGCTGTCTTCTGTCAGTGTCTTCCTAAGGTCTTCTTCTTGGCATGTCTGTGTCCTAATGTCCTCATCTCCTAAGGACATCAGTCATATTGGATTATAGGCTCATCCCAGTGACCATACTTACTTGGAATGATCTCTTTAAAGACTCTGTCCCCAAATGCAGTCACATTCTGAGGTTAGGACTTCAGTACATGAATGAGGGAGTAGGGGATGTAGGCCAGCCCATGACGGTAGGCATCATGGACTCATCCATGTTAGGAAGTCTAATGTTCTTCATGTCACATGTGGGCATTTTCTCAGCGGAGACTGGAGTCATTGTGACCTAGCCTCGTCTGGTTAGAGTGATGCAAAGCCAGGCAGCTTCCAAATGACATCGCAAGCCAAGCAAAGAATAGGCTCCATTAAGGCTCTGTGGTCCACATTAAAGAGCAAGATTTATTTTCATTATATTTTTCTTAGCTGAGGGCATCTTATCTGGTTAGACAGGCTTCTTTAGATCCAAATTTTGTTCTTTGTGACATTTGGAGTTAATATGAGGAAATACTCTTTGTATTGCCCGGTATTGAAAATGTCAGTAAACAAACACAGCAGTCGAAGAAAAGGGGGTGAGTAACAAAAGACATTGTTTCTGGATGCAGGAGGTAACAGGAGTGTGTAGAACAAAGGTTTGCTCAAAATAGGCTTTTTAGCAAACTTTGGAGCCCCGTTCTTTGTACCCCACCCACCTTCATTCTGCTGAAGCTGCGATGCTGATGATAATACTTATTATTTTAACCAGCCCCAACCCCCCCAACTTACTCACACAAACACACTCTTGATTTCAGGGCTGACAGCAGGGCTGGGAAGGTCCTTATAGGATCACAAAACAACTCGGGCAGTTGAGGGCTTCCGGCAGACAGCTAACAAAAATATACTCTCAGAGGATGCAGCTTCGGGGGGGCGTGGGACCCGCACAGCAGTGAGCCTGAAAGCCGGCCTTTCCGTTTTATAGAGCTTCACCCCTCACATCTGGAGGAGCTGTGACAATCAGTGTTAGACCATTTTAGAAATCAGATACCCTGGGTACCAGGAAGTTGATTTGCCTTCCACTTCCTTAAGAAAACACACATTAATATTTAAGCTGGGTTTTCATAAAAGCAGCGTTGTGTTTGAAATGTGAAATAAAGTCGGGCGGCGGGGAAAACTCCCTCAGATATGGTGACCCTGATGCAATTCAAATCATCCTCCAGATTCGAAAAGGAACAGGAGCAGGACTCACCCTCCCCCAGAGTCCTCGTGGCATTTTCTACTGTTCGATGGCGTGTGTCTTTAATTCGCAAGGAATTGGACTTTAAGTTGTAACTTCCTTCTCTGTAAACAGAAGTTGGAGATTCATGAAGGTTACCTTCTTAAGTGATCCCAAAAAACAGTGTTTATGATTTCCCCCTCGGTATTGTTTCTTGGCAGCTTTTTTCAATTAGAGCCGTGTGGTGTACATCATCCCGTTACCAGGCTTATGGCGGCTCTTGCTTTCCAGTGTGGCTTTCTGCATTTTCCTGCTTTCTTTGGATCCACTCCCTGTGGAGATGACATTGAGATTGTGTCAGATAAATCAGGAACGGCAATTCTGATAGTGCCATCTTGAATGTAGAACATGATTTTGGTATGTCTCTGTAAGGGCTGTGGAGACAAACAGAGTTCTTAAAGGGTGAAAGGGCTTTTTCAAAGATCAGTGTAAATGGTTTACTTTAAAAATAAACATGTTAAATTACTTTGATCTTAGCTGTCCCAAAGATGCGAACTAGTCATGTTTCTGGGGGAGTCTTTTCCGGGGTTTTAAACCCAGCATAGACCATTTCCTCTTTGCAAGAAGACAAATACTTTTTGGAACAATGGAACTCATGAAGAAGCACTGGTCTAAGTAAGGGACAGGTAAAATACTGAAGGGGTTTTAACAACAGATGTTGGATTTCTTTTTGCAAATAGAAGTTTTGATGCCCTCTTTAGGTACAGTTATTCATCCAGATTTGAATCCTGCAAATCCTCTCTTTCTGTCTATCCACTAACCCATCCGTCTCGTGTACAAGGATAGCATGATATTTTGGGGTTCTGATACCATATTGAACATTTGCCCATGCATTGCCTTGACATAGCGTTAATTTTTTGTTTCGGTAATTAGGATTTTCTTTCTTGGATGATATAATTCCATATTCACCAGGCATAATCATTTCAGTTTAAGTCCAGTATTAACTTAGTATCTGAGTGTTGAGCTTTGTATTTGATATTTCAGTACAATGGTTCCTATTTTGATGATTGCCCGAATTTTAGATTTTGATGAAGTAAAACATAATGGAAGTAAGTTTTGATGTACTTTAAAAAACCCAACCACAAATTATTCAGAGATGAAATGACTTTGAGGTTTTCCACATGTTTCCTTTGCATGGAAAAGCAAGTTTAGTTGTACTAATATCACAAAGTATTTAATCCTCAATCTAAATATTTTTTTTTTTTGGTTTTATATGTGATGTTCAAAAATAGTCACCCTGTCATGGATGACAGGAAGTTGTCTTCACTAGATCAGCTGTCTTTTTCATATTGGTGATATGAATCTAAAGATTAACAAAAGATTAAGGAGAAGATAAATGATTGTTTTCAAAGATGTTTTAAGACTAAGATTGGCACAGTGAAGAAAGTCTGATACTTCATTTCAGCTGGCTGCTGGCACCTTGTTTGATTATTTATTTATTTTTTAATTGAGAAAGAAAGTACACCCCCCCCCATTTGGCATGGTTACACAGTAATCCTATTTCTTGCATTTCCTCATCCTGTCAAGATTTTGAGCATGCTTGAGTACACATGCACCTGCTGTGATTTTCAAGCTGCCAGGACAGGACTTGAACTCTGGTCAGCCATGTGGGATCCAGCTTTGTTTGTACAGTGCTTAACCACTGCACTACAGAACAGGGGCTGGGCCAGCCCTGGGTAGCATTTCTTAAAGTGGGCTCCTTTATCAAGTTCTACGCTCATGAGGTGGGAGGATGCTTTAGAGGAGAAGATACTGTGCTAGACAAATCGGGTGGTTCCATGTGGTCTCTTACCTCTATAAAACAATGAACTGAAAACATGTGTCCCTTGTTGGGTAGACAGACCACTTAGTGGACAAAATAATCTAAGTGAGGACATTTGAGTTCTACTCTGAGACTTTTTACTAACAAGCTATGTGACTGTAGGCAAGACCTTTACTTTTTTTTTTTTTATTTTTTTTATCAGAGGGTATGTGCACTCACCAGAGAGAAGCAGAGCAACAGAGAAATTAAGGGAAGAAGCACCCTCTAACAGGGCTTGGTCACACATTCCTTTCTCTTCTTCTCCATCCTTTTGGGATTTGGGAATGCATGCCCAGGTGCTCAATGAGTTTTTCAAACCACCAGAGTCAGGACTCAAACTGTGGTTGGCCATATGGGATCCAATTTGTCTAACCATGAGGCTGGCTCAAGACCTTTATGTTTTCTCTAATGTTTCTTCATTGGAAAATTAAAAAGGGCTTGACTTGACAGCAAATTAGAAATGTTCATGGAATAAATGGCAAAGCTGTTGAAGATAAGGAGAACATGAGGCTCGGGGAATGTTCTCCTGGCTAGGCTTCCCTCCTCAGCCACGGAATGACCAAGACACTTGCAGCAGATCCCTGGGGCAAACTGGAGCCCACTTTGGAAATCACGTCTCCCTGCTGCCATCTTACATTCCTGAAGTCTTAAAGAGATAATCTAATTAGAATTTAAATGAATAAAGTTGTTTTTTGTTTGTTTCAAGTATTTTTTGGATGATATTACATGTAGAAGACTTGGTAAACAGGAAAAATTTGAGGAGACAAAATAATATAATTAATTAGTGCCAATACACAGAGATACTCATTAGGATATATTTTTTCCTTTTCTTTTAATTTTCTATCTTGTCTCTATTCTTAACTAGGATAATATTTCTCTCTAAAAGTTCATGGAAAAATGAAATTACAGCATAAATTTATTATTTGAGTGCAAAATAAAATCCGTGCACAATTTTTTATAATATGCATTCGTTATGAAGTTTCTGAAGAATGTCTACGTGTGTATATGCTTTGTTTTCTTTAAAGGAGCCTAGTGATTGTCACCCATTACAAACTGAGGAGTATGGTTAACTACAAACAAATAAAACCTTATCACCCATAGATGACTACTGTAACTTCTGATTGTAGGGCGTCACGAGATGTTCTACAAGGAAATGTTCTATGTCATCAAGGCGTTTTTGGAAAAGATTCAAATGGCAATTTATTATCCCATTTAACCATTCCCTCATAACTGAATATTTAGGTTATTTCCAGTTTTTCTTGATCATAAATATCACTGTGATGAGCAGCTTTGAATATGAATCTTCAAGTGTCATTATGATTGCAGTCTTAGGATAGATTTCTAGATTTGGAATTCTTGGGTCCAAAGTTGGACCTCCTGGGCCAGCCTTCTATCTGAGTGGTTAAGGGAGCAGAATCCCACATGGCCAACTTCCATTGCAGCCCTGGACCCCGAGGCTAAATAAACATGGTGGACATACGTAGGTGCCAAAAATCCTGACAAATGGAGAAAGGATCACTCCCTTTTGGGAAGTGCTTTCTTTCTCTCTCTCTGTTTCTTTCTGGTGAGTGTATTCCTCACTTTCCTCTGGTAATAAATTAATTCATTAAAAATTAAAACAATAAAAAATAAAATGGCTGAAGAAGGCTTTCCTAAAGAACTGACATTTAAAAAGCTCGAAGTTTGACTTAAACATCTAGTGATCTCATTTTATTTCCATCTGTTTAGTATTTAGAATATTTGTTTTTGCAGAAATAATTTCTTATTCTTACATATGGAAATCTGATGAGTTGTTTAAGGTTTTTGGAAAAGTAGTGCACATGAAATATTTGACAGGTTAGAGGTCTCCTGTGTCATCATTCAGTGGATTGTTGTCCTCATGGTACATTGTGGCAGAAAGTTGCTTCCTAATTTGAAGAAAGTAACTTGTGAAATCAGTGCTTACATTTGTTGTATAGCTGGGATCTATCTAATTGCTAAGAATTTTCCAACTACCCTCATTTCTGAATTCCTATTTTTGAAAAAAAAAAAAAAAACAACCCAAAAAACTGGGACTGTGTATTTTGAGAGGAGCCTAAGTGCATATTTAAGGTATGAATGCTTCTTTCAGGATTTGATCTGCGTTTCGGCTGGCAAATCTCTCAGGTGCACAAAGGGGCCCTGGCTACTTCGTCATTCATGGAGGAATATATTTTAAAAATGCTTTCTTGACCCTCTCCTAACTTGGAGACAAGCACATTCCTCACTTTTTCCCAACCAAAGCAAACCAAATTTTCATGTGCAGAGAGTGTGTTTTCAATGGATTAGACCCAAAGCTATGTTGTTCTAGAGGTCTTAGAACTGCTTATGTAGTGCACAATAAGCTTTGTAGCACAATTTAAATGTTGATTTTAACATATAAACAGTCATCCAAAAGTATTTCAGAAAAGCTGTTTTTAGGAGTTGGTTTAAAAGTATATTGGATAATGATTTCTCAAACATGTTTATTTTTTTGGTGTCTTTATTTAGGCAGATGAAGTTTTTCCTTTTAAAGAGACCCCTCCATAAAGAAGACCCGTGTGCTCCCCCTTTCTTCTCCCTCTGTCTATGCTCCTTCCCTTCCTTTTCCAGCTGTTTCTTTTATTCATCTAAGACATTAGACGACATTCTTTATTTTGCCGACAATGACTTATTTATACCTAATTGCCTGGTTCTGTGATTGTTAGAAAACTGTATTGACAATGATAATTTTCAGTTGTCTCACAATGAGGGCACATGAATTAGCAGAGATCCCAATCAAAACATGGCAAGTGGGAAACAAAGCCCCCACCAATGGCACATTTCTGACATTGCCTTTGTTAAGTGTTGCATTAATAGGAAGGTGACATTCTTTTGAGAAGTGAAGCATATGTAAATAGAAAGAGTTTTTAAAAATAGAATTCTGCAAGTCAGACTCATTTCTACAGCTTCATAAGGCAGAGAACAAGCTAGACAGAAATGTTCTGCGAGCAGTGAATGGAAATTGAAATTGTTTTCCTGGTTCATTTAGGAACTAAACTTTCTTGTGTGTTGGATTTTGTTGGGCATATAATTGGGTATAGTTGGACAAATTGATTCTGTGTTTGAATTTTATTTACCAGCAAAAACCCATGAAGTTCTCTTGCTTTTTCTTGGCATGGCCATGACTGGTTGTATGAGTTCAGAAATTGTAAACCCAATGTCTGGGCAGCATCAAAAGCAGGATTACCTGAAAGTGATTCCTGGGTTGCTTTGTGATTTAGTGATTAGGCTTCTTGCCTTATTTCTCTCTTAAGAGCGTATCTTAAAAGTGCTGTATTCACTAATGAGCACATTGGTTGTCTCCACTTACATGCCCCATACAGCCTATGTATCATCCAGTCTTTTCAAAGTTAATCTATTGTAAAATTAAGACTGTAAAAATGGACCGAATTGCCCCCACCCAGGGACAATGGTGGAAGACTCACAGTGTCAGCCCCTCTATATTCCCCAGTGGAAATCATCATACAATTATGTGTGGTGTCATCCAGCTCCCCAAAGAGTTCTGCTTCCTATTCAGCCTTAGTTATCTCTAGGAAGTGTGAGCCTTCCCACTGGACTGGCCTGAAAACACACACAGTTTTCTCTTGATGGGGAAGAACTCTCTCTGAAGGTCTGTGGCTTAAGTGGCAGAGATGCAAAGGCAGCTCTCTCCCAGTGTTTCTAATTCAATTCTCCTCTATACTATCATGCATCGACTGAGTAATGCATCCAGTGAGGGAGAGAGGAAGAGAGGGGTCAGGAGGTTTGGGTTCCAGTAAAATTTAAATAGCCATTGCACTTGCAATATTAAACCATGAACACCATTTAGGACTCTGTTAGCAGATGGGACAAGTCAATTAGATGAACTGATTTTTCATGGTGTTAGGGATATAATTCTGGGATTCTTAACCTACAGGCAGTTCAAGACTAGATTTCAGGGGTATGGTAGTGGAACTTAAAAAATGGATGCCACATTTTTTATTAAATAATTGGTGTTTTTATAGGGATAGACTTTATAAAATTCTCAAATGGGTCATTGACCATAAAATGTTCAGGAACCACTGCATTCTATTGTCAAAACTTTTGGTTTTATTTTAAAAATTTTTATTTTTAATTAATTAATTAATTTTGGAGTTTTTTTTTTTTTTTTTTTTTTTTTGCTTTAGGGCATG